CCATGACTCGCGCATGCATGCACGTGCACGGTTGTGGCATGACCACCAAAACAGAAAGATATGGACACAAGATGTATTTAGTATCCTATCCATGTGGACATCATTTCAGCTTTTTTAAATGTTGAAGCTAAGAGCATCAATCTGGTGCACTTTGAGAGCAAAAGGAAGAGATCTATGGATACATCTCTCAACACCCATATGATATTGTAAGAACATTTTTCTTTTTGGATATTTTACAAATCACTCCTCTTTTAAACTATATTCTTGTTATTTTTAACAACTTTTTTGTTGCTGTCATATAGTATTTTATACCTGTTTTTTTTAATTTAGTCTTGTTTTTTTATAACTAATGATCATATCAAGGTGTGCCTTAACATCACTGAGCTGAGGTTATTTGAGCCTCTCAGTCTGTCAGGAGAGCTCTCTTCCACCTGGTTGTAGAAAACGCTCTTTAAATTTGTTAGCATAGCTAGCTAACCAGATGCTAATAACAACAGATCGCCACTGTGCTTACAACTAAAGACACAGCCACACAAAAACTGCGGCATGTGTACGGCTCCTTATGCGTACTGCAATATCTGAAGTGCTGGAGCGGGGTTCCGGTGCTCTCCGTCAGCACTACATCACGTGATGAAAAACAGTGTGTGTGTGTGTGTGTGTGTGTGTGTGTATCCGAAAACGAAAACTCTTCGGTTCTCCACGAATTACACAAGTCACACAAATCAGCGTTAAAAAAGCGGGAGGCGCCGAAAAGCGACTAATTTGCATGCATAGGTGTTAATATTAACATTATTCAGGTGAACATTCATTTTGGGTTTCCAGCTCCACAGCCTTTGTGGATATGGTTTTACAAACAAATATTCAAATGTCGGGTTAGAAGTTCTTTAAATAATATCTACTCATTAATCTAATTTAAAGATCCATAATTGATGAAGTTAAAATTCTCGACAAGAGATGTTTCCTGCTACATTGAAAAGTCAATTTTCACCGGAGGCATAAATCCAGAAACTCACTGCGTCTGGGCACCGTCTTCTTTGGCGATCATATCCTCAGGTTCATCGTCATAGTCAAATCTGTCCAGGAGTTTCTGAGGAAAAATGTACATTACAGTTAGGTACATGTAAAAGAGAACAGCTGGTTATGATGTGACACTGAGCAATGCTTTTACCTCAGCTAAAGAGTTTCTATTTTCAGTGTGTTCATTGTACGGGTTGAGCTGGGCCACTGGCATGGGCTGTGCTGCGTTTGGTAAGGTGTTTGTGATGGACGCTTCCCGGGTCTTATCTGCCTGCTGGAAGTTCTGAAGCATCCTCTGCAGCTGGAAGAAGGGGGGAGACAAGACATTCAAATTTCAAACAATGCTGTACTTCTCATTATGCAGAACTGACTGAGCACTTAAACTGATGTATGCTTACCTCTAGACCATGTGGGGACTGAAATAACTGGGCCACAGCAGCTAAGGCATCAGGAGAGGTTAGCTGAGGCACAGCAGACACAACTGAGGCACTAGTGACGGGAAGGTGTGTCTCTGGTTGGGGGTGAGCGGCAACTGTCAAGTTCCAAGAAAAAGATTGACACATTTTCGTGATATTGCATGCAGTTCATCAAACAGTGGATTACAACTTCACTTGTCTTCAGTACATTTTTTATAAACATTCCAAATTGCCAAAAAGATAATCATGTGCTTTTCTCTACCTTGTAGTGTAGGGGCAGGAACAATGGTTTCATTGCACATATCCATCAGAGGCTGAATGATGTCCATGTCGAACACACCATTCTTCTCCCACAGGTTCAGTACGCGAAGGATTTTGGTCTGATGAAGAGAAAAAAAGCAATCACACATGTGACAAATTTCCATTTCACATGTTATTGTATAAAATACCGAGCACAACCATGGAGTACCTTATCATCTTCTGAGCAGTGGTAAAGGTTTAGGAAGGTATCTGTGAAGTTCTTCAAGAATCTGGGCCCAAACACATCCTTCTCAACTCCAAACTGATGACGCGACTGTCGAACAATGGAATCCACCACGTACAAGCCAGGGACTTTTAATTCTGGCTTGCACTATTGGAAACACACAAACAAAAACATTTAATTCATTTTGTCTCATGACAAATGGCAAGTGTAAAGTGCACTTGATTTTCTAAATGTTCAATATAATTCACAGTAAGAGGCACTGTAATACATACCTTCTTGATGAACTTTTCAACAATCTGGACAACATGTTTGTAAAGCTATTAAAAGAGAAGAAAAAACATTAGACACAGTATATTAGAGACTACTTCAAAAAGTATGACAATAGACGGATGAAAATGGTAATGTTAAAATAAGGGCTGGAAAAAATTCAATATAATATTTGATCTTCTTTAAATAGAATCATATTGTGATTAAATCATGTACATTGATACCAAATAAACATCACATTTCACCGGTCTGCCGCTGTCTGGCAGGCGGCATCAGGACAATAACCACCCGACTCAGAGACAGTGTCATTCCACAGGCCATAAGCCTATTAAACTCCTGAGCTCTGTAAAGTGCCTCCATAACGAATTAATCCATTTGCATCTTGCTATTTATGTATCTATATATAAATGTATGCATCTATAGACTCTTCTTGCACTATTTCTATTTTATTTGCATTCACTTGCACTGTTTTTTTTTGTTTTATCTGTTTTATGTCCTATATATATTCATGTTGCATTGTTGGAGGAGCCGGCTGGGACTTAAGTTTTTCATTGCCATATCTACACTGTAGCTGCTGTGCATATGACAATAAAGCCTTGAATCTTGAATCTAAAGTTAGGTTCATTGAGGTCTTTGGAAACATCACGTCCCAAAAAGGGACAATTCAAAAATCGGGATTGCAAGAAAGTACGGGCTTCTCCAAATATCTTTGTTTTACTTTATGCACTCACTCAAATAGTATACCTTGGAGAAGAAAGCTTTCAAACTGTTTCAACTATTATCAAATACCCTTGAGAAAAATGGAGATACAAATATGTAGCATGAACAAGGAAACTTCTCATCTGTCGGTTATTAACTGCAAATGTGTGACAACATAAGTTGATTCCATTTAACTTTACCTTGATGGCTTTGATGGCTGATTTTGTTACAGACATCATCTTTGCACGGGATATTGGAGGCTTCATGTCAATCATGGAAAACAGCTGATTGGATGTAAACAAAATAATAACATGTATTCATTTCAAATAAAAAATGGTGTTAAAAAACATTGGAAAAGATAAGGTCATGCTCCAGGTAACATAGACACCACTAAACTACTGTCAATTGCAACTATATATCACAAGTTGATAAAAGAACATTTTGCAACAGCAAACTCGGAATATAATTGAAAAAGTAAATCGTTTAAAAACGATTTTTCCAGGTGCCAAGACAATCTTTGTTTTCATAAACCTACATATCCAGAATACCTGACATAAAAGTAAAACAGATTGTTGCACTGGGATTTAGCAATATGTCTTGCACGCAGAACAATAACACGATTTGTGTTTTTACAGTTGGGAAAACTTAACAACTTCGATTATATAATGATATTAAATAGAATGTGATCAAAAAGAGAGGACGTATATTTGTGAGAGTAACTCATAGACATCCTGAATTGTTTAGCTATTGCTTGTTAATATACAATACAAATGATGAAGCCCATTTTCAACATTACCGTAGCTCTGAAATAAAAAATACCTAAGCTTCTTCAAGAATGTGTCAAAAATATGATATGAATGTTAGTTGTTAAAACCAGTCTGACAACACATCGGTTTGTACTCTAAATTGTACATAGGTTTGTGTCTGGATCATCACAATACGTTTTTAAAGCAGCCATCAGGTTAATAAGACAGCTGACCGTATCTCCCTCTACCTAACTAACGACAAACACATTCAAATAACACAACAAGGCCACAGTCCAGAGTCCTAGCGTGGCAACAATAGTATAACACGTATTGATATTAGTTGATATGCTCACAATCTGTGCTGTTGTATTTGCTGTAAAGTGTCTCTACTGTAGGCTATTTGTATGATATGTACAGCACTTTGGCTCGACCAAAAATCGTTTATAAATGTGCTATATAAATAAAACTTGATTTGCCTCTCGATATAGCTTCTTTCCTAACCACAAATACATCCTGACAATTTATTGGCGTCGCACGTTAACATTAAAATAGACACTACAATCATAGGCCTTCTAGATTAACGTACTAGCGTTGAACTCGATTTAAGCTAGCAGCTAACAAATCCAATCAAGCCATGTTTGACGCTACGCTTTAACTGACCAACCAACATTGAACAAATCAGTTGCTTAGGTTAATTAAGGTTTCTATAAGATTAGTAATCTGACAAATAAACCAGGGTTGACGTTTAGCCCAACATTTGTTTGCGTTAGCCTTCGTCTTTAGCTCTATGGACTGGGCTATAACACGAGCAAACTGTACCTCCATGTTGAACGCGTTCACTGCATCCATGACGATCCGATATAATTAAAACCAGTTGACGAACGTTTGTATTTTGTTGCTCTACCCAATCATAACCAAGTGTGGTTATACACCGTTATCTAACAACATAAAGAACAACGTTGAAATGCTCTATTTTGGTTGTAATGCGCTCACATAGCTAGTCTAAGATCGGCTATGCTAAGAGTGGCTACTAGCTTCGCGGTTCCACCCCTTGCGTCCTTCAGCGTAAGATGTCACGAGGTAATAATGCTGCCTTCATGATAATCGGAAAATTGGCGTCTCCCATTTAGTTGACCGAATAATTTCACTTTACACTTTTTCTACTGTAATGGCAGTAGGAATGATGTGCTTCAGATGGGTTTCTTTTAATGAGGGAGGGACACAGATTATTTTAGACAGTGGACACGGGCTTTATTATCATAGGAAATGAAACATGTATGATCATTTATGTCGAGACACATTGAATCAACCGAAATGATCAAACAATAATAAACAAATGTAAATGTCCCTTCTGATTAAATAAGGGGTATTTGTTATTTGAGGATTGATTTCATTCGAATGTAATCGTCAAGATAAAGTTGTCATTCTTCAATCGAAACTTTTACAAGATTACCGAGGAACATTGAAAGCAGCCTGTCTGCGTATTTATCCTAGTTTGGATAAGCACCGGTTTTTCCTGTTCACACCGCAGCGGAGCCGGATCAACCTCCTGAACAACAACAAGCCCACGTTTTGTCCAGTTTGTACATAACGATGGAAAACCCCAAACTTAACAAGCAGCAGTGGTCCACTGAAGAGACCAGCTACCTACTGGGAATCTGGTCTTCCCAAGAGGTACAGAGGAAGCTGGAGGGGAGCACGCGGTCCAAAGCAATGTTTCAGCATTTGCAGCGAGAGATGGCAACCGCTGGTTATGACCGTACCGTGGAACAGATTTGCAACAAACTGAAAAAAGTTAAGAAGGATTATTGGGACCAAAAGCGAGACCTCGGACGGACTAGTGGCAGCGGTCGTCCGAAAACAAGTCCACATTATAACTTGCTAGACTCTGTCCTCGGAGACAGACCGACGAATGGTTTTGGATCCACAGTTAACTCGCTCTCTCTCGAGTCGATTGTGTTGGACGAGACGAAGAATGCGCGGAGCTCATCTGATGCTGGTGAGTTATGCATTACTGATTTGTTTTATTTGTGACTTTTAGTTTTACAACATAAACTAAACCATGTAGCTATCGACAGACCTGGCAATAATAGCTAAAGTTGACCTACTACAGCTACTGGGTTTCCGCCATTTCCGCGCGGTTTGGCTAATGAAGCAGGCACGTAAACGGTTACGTCATGACGCAAACGATGACGCAACACAACTCGGGCTCTGGGCGGTGTGAACAAAACGGGACGGGAGCTGAAAAGAAAAACCGGTACCGAGCCAGTAGAGCGCAAGAACTATCGGTGGACTTCGTTCGGTCCATCTCGGTGCTTAAAAGGAAGGCCCCCTCACAATGTCCACTAGCCGCCAGTATTGGTCAATGAGTGAAACAAAAGCCTTGCTAAACATATGGGCTGACGAAGATGTGCAGCAACAAATGGAGGGCGCATGTCTCAAGGAAGAAGTCAGTCAGTTCATGGTAGAAGAGTTGGCAAAGTTAGGTATCCAGCGCACAACCACCCAAGTGAGGGAAAAACTCAAAAAGACGAGACATATGTATAAGACATCTAAGATCAATGGACGAAAACCTTTCCCTTTTTTCAAATTAATGGATAGTGTGCTCGGAAGACGAGGTGGGTCAGAGGGTGAGCTGGGGACCAGTGAAACTCCCATAGGCCTTATTGCTCCTTGGGAGCCAGAAGCAGAAGGTAACTTCACCTTTGGACAATGGCTTGTTTTCTCAGATGAAATGTATGGTCTGCGACTTTAGATAAATATACTAACAAAAAAAGAATAGGGAATCCTCAATGTACATACCTTTTACCTTATGTCTCCTTAATTAAATGTATAAAACTGCTGCAGGTCCAATTATTTGTATGTTCAAAGCAGGGCTTATACTCTAGCACGGTGCTTCAAGCCTTCAAATATTGTATGCAAGCAACCGAGACAGTTAACATTTAACACAATTTCTCTGGCACTACTGATCAGTGTCAAATGTAACTTGATTTAACCAATGGCCTTTGTTCTTAACAGTCAAATCCCACACTACAGAGAGCGGCTGGTCCTCTGCCTTTAAAAGAAGAGTCAGATCAGGTAAGTCAAACAGTAGTCCTGTCCCCTGGGCTCCCCTGGTGTTTCAGTTAGGCTCCCTCCCAATGTATATCATACTTGAGAATTGCTGTAATGCAGGGGCGTCCAAACCTTTTTCACCGAGGGCCACATACGAAAAATATACGAAGGGCTGGGCCACTCACTAGAGGTATATTGCCTCATAGGTTCAGTTATAAGTTAGCAAAATCAATCAAATGTAGGTAAATGATGCTTGTGAGTGTTGGCAGCTCATCCCTTAAAACAGAAGCCTCCGATTGATTATAATAAGGAGAAATAGGAAGGGTGTATTTCAAGCTTGTTCTGTAAACAGGTCATTGGGCTTTTTTCTTATCAACTAAGATATGTTAGGAAATGTTTCCAACTTTAATTGACTGAATTTATTTGAAAAGTGGTCTTAGTAACACATGAATACTAGTGTGTAATGTATGTTTACATTTACAGTTAATAAGTACAATATAAGAAAAGCACAAGTTTTATTTGTGAGACATATTCCATGTACTTTTTTAATTTGCTGAGGGCCGATTCAAAATGGGCCGCATTTGGCCCCTGGGCCGTAGTTTGGACACCCCTGCTGTAATGCTTTAAGTAAAAAGAAACACTAAAACACCCCTGGATTCCATTGAAACCTATTAATTGCAATTGATATAAGGTTAATTCATTATCTGAATCAGGTTCACATGGATATTGGACCATAACATATGATGGCCTGCTATAAGTAATGGGAAACGTTTTTTATTAAAAAAGCATTTGAAACAACGCAGATGATTGACAGGTTCTCTGTTCTTGCAGTTGCTCAAAAACGGAAGGCGGACAGTGACTCTACAAAAGAGTTTCTCAGTGCTATGACAGAGTGCCACAGGCAGTGGCTGGAGATGGAGCAGGAGCAGAGGAGGGAGGAGTGGGAGAGGGAAGCTCAGCTGAGGCGTGAGGAGATGCAGCAGGAGCTGGCGCTACGTCGAGAGGAAGCAGAAAGAGAGGAGACACTGAGGCGCGAGGAGATGGAGGCTCGAAGTAAAGACAGTGAGCTGCTGACCTCTTGCCTGATGCAAATTGCAAAGATTATTTCAAAGGACCCTGCTGCTTTGTAATGTCATATGCCTTTTCTTGTGAATTATTGATTGTTGTTGCCAGGATAGCAATGGACCAATGGTATTTGACTTATTATTAAAAGCTTGTATTTGTATTAAATGAGTCAATGTACAACCCAACAGCCTAGAACTATTTTTGTTTAGAGTTTTACCACTGAGAAGTGTGCACGTCATATAGCTCATTGTATCGTTTTTTGGATGTGTTGGCAAAATATTTCAGTGGAATTCCAATGAGTATAGGTACGTAAGTGAAATGCATTTTTTTGTAAGATTTTAGTTTATTTTTCTAAACCGTTCCGTAACTTGGAAAAAAGACACCGCAGCATACTGTAAGAAAAGGCACTCAGCTAAATATATGTATGAAGATATTTATTTGTGGTTTATACAATCTCTCTCTGGCACAGGTATACAAAGTTAACAGTCAATAACAAGTTGTCTTTAATTGATGAAATAAAGACATATCCAACAACTCAGATATGCATGGAAAATGATGGCCACCTTTGTTGATGTAAGGGTGGGTAGTAAAATGTGAGGAGATTATTCTGCACTGTCCTGTATCAGCTGCAGCAAATCATCTAATGACTCTGCGTCACCATTCTTTTGAGGGTTTTCATCAACAGTCTGAAGTGGCTCTTGACCGATCCAGTCTGGAAGGCACATATCGTTGTTTTTCTCACAGAGATTATGAAGCACACAACATGTCTCTACCATGTCCTTGACAATCTCCACATTGCAGTCATTTCGTCTGCTCAGGCACCTCCACCTACCCTTCAGCCTCTCAAAAGCATAATGGGCCACACTGCGCGCTGCGATAATCTGAGTATTAAGCAGCTCTTGCTCTGCAGTCAGCCTGCTTGTATTGGTGCTTGGTTTGAGAAGCCAGTTTTTCGAAGGATATCCAGCATCACCAATAACAACACGGCTACTGTCAGTTCTACAGACATTGTGCATCCTGGTGGAGAAATCCTCACATACCAATAGCTCTCCACTGTTGTCATTCACCCACGTTGGGCAGCTCATGCTCAGGTCCCAGAACAGGCCTTTGTCATCAACAACTGCTTGAAATAAGATAGCAAGATAACTTTCTCTATCAGGTTTCTCAGAGTTGAGATGTGGCGGTCTGCTGATGGTGATGTTCATGCTGTCAAGTACTCCAATACACTGAGGAATCTGATATGTGTGATGGAAACATTCTTCAATGTTCTCAAGTTGAAATTTGTTGGGCGTCACAACAAGCTGCGGTTTAAGCACTTCAATGACCACTGTGCAAAACTCATGCACACAGTGGCAAACAGACGCCACCCCCACAGCAAAGAGATCTGCCACAGTTCTGTAGTCACAGGGGTGGGCCAATTTATAGAGAGTCAACGCCACTCTCTTCTCTAAGGGGATGCATAGGCGATAATTGGTGTCCTGCCTCTTCAACTGTGGATTTAACGTCGCGCAGAGGTAGGAGAAGGTCTCTCTCGATACTCTAAAATGCTGCAGCCACTCGTGATCTGTGAAATTAGCTGCTGTGTTCTCCCACCAGTCGCTGGTCCGTGGGTGAAGCCACACTTTGGGTCTTTGTCGCCTGTGATCCCTCAAGAACTGATGTGTTATCTGGTTGGAATGGGAAGACAAGCAAGTGTTCAACACTGGAAGTGAGGACAGGAAATAACTGAAAGCAGACAGTGTGGCCCTGAATACACTGCATAGCATGTTTTCCTATAAACTGGATGGGCAATTCATTATTAAAAGTAGTAACAACGACAGTGTATTTGCTAAATGTCCTTTTACAATGGTGATATCTTTAATCTGTTTAATAAAGCATTTTCAATTGGCTTGTTTAAATGTGCCACATAAATAAACTTGCCTTGCATTTCTTGCTCACAAAAATATACTTGCATCATCTGACATTTTATCATTATGGTGAAGGTGGACCTGTTCTATTATAATACAGAGACTCACCGGACCATGGGGAAATTACTTGGAGAGGACTGTTAGCTCATTGGCTCTTTTTTTTTGTTTATGGACTTTTCCTATTTTATATTTTCATAATTCTGCAGATTTTTATTGAAAATAGATGAATACATTATTTTTGTCATGTGACCCTGTGACTCCAAAATAATAAATACTAGTATTAACCTGCTACACTGGGCAAGTAGGGCACATCTGTTTTTAAAATTACATTGTTCTTTAATGAAAAATTATTCCTATAAAATTGACCAGTATTTAATACAAATATATTTGTCCATGTCTAGTTTAGTAATACAATGCTGAATATATATGGAATCGGCTGACTTTTAATAACTATATTGTTATGAAAAAAGAAAAACACTCAAATCTATTCAAGACAGGCTAATTAAAAATATTCTCCAGATAAAACACAACTGTATGGTGGTGGTCCCGAGTGAACCAGACTAGATTGTTTAAAGTCCAAATACATCATGGAAGTCTAGGATAGATTTAACTAATGTGGCAAAGTTAAGGATAAGACTAGAGTGAGTACAAATTGTCTCAGCTCTTACCGCTTTCATCCATGTGTCATGAGAACAGAGGCGACGCAGTTTACTCCGTTTGTAGACTTGTTCTCTCAGCCTCCATGTTTCGCGGAGCTTCTTGAGGCGCAGCCGCTGAAATGCGAGCAGCTTCAGGCGGCGCTTCTGTCGCCGAGTCTCGGCCTGGCTGTCCTGGGACTGCCTCGTTCTGCACCAGGCGATAACCGGGAGGAACACATCGGCGGCTTTCATGCTGTACTTTTGTATAGAATATTAAGTTACTTTCTATGTCATTTTTGACAACATTACTGTATCTATACGATACGGACTCGTCAAAACACTGATCGGAGGCTCATCAATAGGACCAGAAATGTAGACGGATGATGATAACACTTCCATCTGCAGTAAACCAAGACTGACGCCCCCTAGTGTTCCGGAGTTTGAAATACCATGACTTTTAGAATCTAAAGCCAAATATCCAACACATTTGACATAAAAGTAAAGATAACCAAGTACTAATTATATATCTTCTATACAAATGTTGCCGAGCAATGCAACAGGACATTGGGACACCATAGTAGGAATTGTCATTATCTACATTGTGCCCGAGTTGTTTTCTTGCCTGCTATTGAATGACCCTATGCACTCATGTGGATAAACCTGTCAACTGCATGCTTCTGGAATAAAAATAAGTCTGCAGAACTGACTAGATGAAACACAACTGAAGCTGAGCAGACAGACAGACATAATGCAGGTGAGGAAAGGAGGGATTTTCCTCCAGGCTTGATGAATTGCAGACCGACTTTCTAGTTGTTAGAAACAACATTTCAGCATAGTTAAATGGTTATCAGTTTTCACTGTCAACATTTTGGAATAGAACAGAGTTATTCCACTCAAAAAATTAACCGATGGCTGTAATGGAGAACTCAACCACCGCTGTTCCCTTTGAATGGGAATACTATTACGATTACATTGATCTTTTGATTGTGGATGAGAGCAAGCTGAAATACAACAAGTGTAAGTCTTTATGAGTTATTGCATTTTTCGTCTTCTTCTGGTTTTAATGAAAATAATGAGAACTTTCCATATCCCTTTCAGACTCAATTGTTATAATATTTTGGATCATTCTGGCTGCTTTTATGGGATTCCTCTTCCTCAGTTTGAATCTAATGTCCCGCAGTGGAAACCTTCAAAGGTAGGTTGGCTTATTGATACACACAAAAATAGAGCTATACATTCCTTAAAACGTTCTTATTATTGTTGTTGCAGGAGACACAGATCCAACATCAGAGGAAATCACAGGACATCAACTGCTTGACCCAGGACTTTATTTGAATGAGAGTACATTTTATAAATGTTAGCTGTTTAAAATGAGGTGTGATGGACACAAAACAATAACCAGGAGGAAAACTGTGAAGATTATGTTGCAGGAAAATACGTTTTTAGACAGAGTAGCAAAGGGTCCTGCTTTCTTTCCATTTCAATGGAACAAGTACAAGGCGATGTTACCATTTAGTACAATGTTATGTAAATATTGTTCTATGCTTTAGCCTTCACTGTGTATTTGCTAACCTGGCCCTGGGTGTTAAAAGTACAAGGACAGCACATGTATATTGCTGTGCTTTATCTAAAAGCAGCTAATCATTTCTTAGATTTAGTCAAAGACACACTTACACACAACATGTTTCAAATATTTAGTTCATACAGGAACCATGTCAATAAAAAAAACATTCACAGAAGTGTAAATCAACATTTTATAACGGAAGGTTTTACAAAATATCTTCAGTCTTTTTACAAGAATGTAATGTAACGAAGTCTATTTTAGAGAACAGAGTAGTGGTCAGATGTTTAACTCTTCAGGGTGGTGATGTCATGACAGATGGCTCTGATGGCTGTTTGACTCAGAGATGATTTGGATGCTTTCTGTCTGTTACACTTAGCTCTGGTCACCAAACTGACATGAGACAGAAACAGCTCTGCTGACGTGGCTCCTCGCCACAACTCATGGACGTAGGACGACAACAGAAACAGACCTGCTTCTGGAACGGGAGAAAACAAGAGGCTTAATTCATTGTTTGGAGTCAGATACAATGATAGAAAATTCATCTGATTGCCAGTTGTGTTTAAGCAAAACATTGCAACTACAATAAATGTAACATCATTAAACACTGACTTTAACCAATCATGCCCCCTGTCAAATTAAAAGTAAAGGTTTTCTTTAATGTTATTTGAATAAAACAAAAACTTGCATCTGGATATGTATAACATTTTGATAAACTGTGATGGGACTCAAGTAAAAAGAGGCAAAGTTTTGTTATAGGTGGTTTGAAATGTAAACATTTAGTCTGGTGTGAATAAGGGAACCTACCACGTCGAGACTCATCATGTGTGGCTTCTGGCAGGCAGGCAGAGACGACTGCCTGATGCAGCTCTGGAAGGTTGCCTTGGCTCTCTAGCAAGCAAATCATTATGTTGCTAAATAGCTGGAGGACATCTACTTTTGCTGAAAGGCTGGAGGAACACTGAGCTTCGAAGGCCTGATGGTAGAGTCGAAGGACGTCTGCTTTCATGCCAACATCGAGTAACACAAACTGCATGCCTTCTCCTTGTTTTATCACAGCCTTTTCGATCCAATGCAAGAACTCTTTTGTTCTGGTTTCATCATACGAGTCCTCGACTAAACACCTCAGGGACCACTTGGTGAGCAGGTGTGCAGTATCACTGGCCAACTGACTGGGATCCACTTTTTCTCTTGGCTGAGCCGGCTGGGGTTCAGGGAGGGGGAACGCCGGCTCCCAGTGGACAAAGATACTGCTGAGGTAAGATGTACACTCTGTCAGCAGACTCTCTTCCTGTTTCTCAGCCTCAGCATCTTCTGCCAGGTTCTCTTTTCTGGCACGGGCTTGGGAAGAGGAGCCTCTACCTCTGGCCTTATCCTTCCCCATCCCTGAGGAGGAAGATGAACAAAACCGTGTTATTGCCATTCAAAATACAAGCAATGATTTAGATACCGTGAAGCGGAACAAAGCTATAAATGAACCACAGTTTGTAATGGAAGAACTATGACAGAGTCTAGCATTTGTCATCACATGTAACATATTGATACTTTTTAAAGCCTTATTTCTATTAATGTCCCTAAAGAAAAGAGAACAGTCAGCAAAATAACAGCCACAGACCGGAGATGGTGATGTTACGGTACACACTTTCTAACGAGTTTGGCTCCATTGTAGATTCTAAAAGGCCAAATATGACATTTTCAGCGTCATTTTTTGGAATTGATTTCAGCTTTTTGTGCTCTATGTTGTTTCATTTGTATGCTTATATGCCGCATATGAGCAGCAGAACATCATTTTAACAGAATGGAATCGACTGCAAACCAAGACTCTCCATTTGCTTACAGATCAGTCTGTTTGAGCAATAGTGAAGATATAAATAACTTGTGAAAAACATTGATGATTAAGAAAATTAACCCTCAAATGCAAACAGTGCAACACTGGTTTGAATGAGTTTTTCATGAACATTACATGTGGTTGTATAGTTAACACATATTCGCTGTATAAGTCTGTCAAATTCATCTTGGAGTTTAAATATGTCTCTTTGATGATGTGCTTTAGCAGGTTTAATAACTGTTTCTGTGTGATGTCAGTTGTACACACTTAATGGCACTTACCCAGCAACTCCTTTAATTTGTGCCTTTCAGCCAAGGCTTGTATTTGGGAAAGGAGTGCTGCGTTGCGGGACAGGGAGGCCCAACAGAGAAGCAAAGTGAGGGCTTCGGTACAAGAGAGAGGCTGTGGGTGGAGTGTTAGCCAGTCAGCCTGTTGGTTTACACTGAGAGCTGTCCCACGATGCTTCAGTACAGAGCAAAGGGTCTGCAGGAACACGTTGAGCTGAGCGGCCTTCACACGCGACCTGACACGAGATCAAACAAACACTGATATCCTTGGCCAAAAGATGGTCAACATCAATCATATCATTTAGATGAATTATTAAGGTATAGGTCAAATGACTGACTTAAAAATGTAGTTAAATCACATTAACACTGTCACTTTGATTGCCTACCACGGCCATTCATTTCTGGTGGTTAGGGAGCTTTACCTGAGGTGTCTGCTGATGGTTAATGCCACAGACAGGAATTCAGTGATGAGGGGGAGTGGGAGACACTTCACTGAGCTCTTGGGTTTCTCCTCTGTAGATGAAGAGGTCTTGGCTTCATCCACCTGCTTCTCCTTCTGCCCGAGGTTAGTAAACCAGAGCACATGGAGCAAATCTATGATGGCACCAAGCAGCTGCTGTTCCAGATTCCTAAAGAACGTAGACGTATGAAGAAAATAAGCAGCTGGCTGGAGATTCGTGTAGTAATATGAATGATAATGTCAAAATAAAGAGCCATAATTGGAATTCTCAAGCTTACTTTTTTTCAACCACCTGTATTATCCAGGTTAGCAGCCCAGAGCTCTTGGTGAGGTTATAAGCTGCTCTGGTCACACGGGCGGCCTGGCACAACACCCTAATTATCTGTGCCTAGTGGAAAGATACAGTTAAAATTAACTCATTTAGTCCCTTATGGAGTTTCTCAGAGTATCTGGATTGTACTGCTCTTATGTTGCAGCAGTGTGTACCTGGGAGTGTTCATCACACAGGGGGCTGCTGCTGAAAGCTAAAAGGGTCTGAAAGATGCCTTGTTGTTCACACAGTTCATAGCTGTGTCCATCACTTATCCCTTCCTCCAGCACACTCAGGATCCACTCACGTTCCATCTTATGCTGCAGAAAAGAAGCAGACAGTCAGTCGAACTCTCAACGCTTCAAACAAACAGATAGCTAAGTCTAGAAAAAACATGAGCTTAGCAAAACAAACAAATGAAGGTTAAATGTTGTTGGCACAAGAAGAGTTTAGTTTATCAATCATTTATTTTTTCAAGGTAGAACCCTGTAAACATGAATGAGAAAACAAAGCAATGTTAATGCAGCAAACACACACACGTATAATCCTAATTACCTCTAAGTCAAAGCCATAAAATAGCTTGAAGAACTCTGGGACTCTTCTGAAGTCCAAACTCTGATGGGACAGCAGGAACCTGTTCAAAACCATGTACATGTGGTCCTCTGGGAAATATGGAAAAACAAGAAAAAGGTCAATGACTGGGAAAATAATGTTGTGAAGCAAGCAATACCAAAGCATATTCAGTATAAAGAAAGGTAAAAAAATAGGGTAATCAAAAATATAACAATTTAAACTTTTTTATAATCAGTAAAAGTCCTTAAAAAAAAGTCATGTTTTCAGGGATACACACCAGGTTTGAGCATCTGCTGAGCCACTTTGGCGATGTAGGTGGTCAAGACAAATGGAAGTCTTTGATTCTGCTGTCGGACCCCATTCCTCACTGTGTCCATCAGGTACAGCAACTGTTAAAAAACAAGCTCATAAGTGTTTCTGGATTTTTTTATCCACACATAATATTTAAATACCCCAACCCTTTACCTGTCTCTTCTCTCTGAAGCGAGCACCCTCCAGGTGGTGGTAGAAGCAGCTAAGCACATGATACGCTGCCGCTCTCACTTTAGTGTCGTAGCTACTCAGAGCCATTACAGTTAGTCCCAGGGCATGACTGGATACAAACTTGAGGCAGTCAATCACACACTCTGTGAAACAGGAGAAAACGTAACAGTTATAAAGTGGTATTTACATTAGCTGATAAAGAGCGATGACAACAAACAGCAATGATATATATTCACCTGGCTGCAGAATGGTGCTGAACAGAGGCAAAAGAAAACGGGGATCATAGAAATTCCCAAGGTCCTCCACTGCATTGTTGTAGTACACCCGCTCCTTATCATCCTATAAAAGAGAACTATTTGTATACTCAAGGTTCATCCAAATTACAATAAATATATTTCTCATGAATCCCTTTTTTACATATCAATTTCTGAGATTCTTGAGGTGGATGGAACTTTATTAGTGATGCTGAAATGAAGAACTACATTTTAACCCATTTACTTTGTCATGTTTATGTCCTGCTGTCACAATAGGGAATAAGAGACACACTTCAGTCTCACCTCAATTATTTCTCTGCTGTGAAAAAAAGGTTTTTAGCAGGATAACATATTTCAAGCTGAATATTTATTTATTTTAAACATTTTTAAAAGGTAGACAAAAATGTTGTGTACTGGACTTCTTCAATAACAATGTTCATATCGATTGTTGATGTAATACTCATTATGGCCGTTAGAGGCTTAAGTGAACCACTGCCCAATGTTTTACCAGATGAGATCAAAAATATCCATGCATGTACACAAATATTCACCAATTGAAAGAAAAAACAAGGTTTGTGGTGCACATTGGCCCCTCTGGCCGAATGCAGTATTACAACAACAAATACTAAGAAAAATAATCATTTTTGTATTAACAGATTAAATAAGCTAATTTAGAAATATGTAGATATAAAAAAATGCCATCAGACAAAAACATTTTATATCTACCATTACTTAAATGTATAAACGCAAGAGAGAAAATCATTTTAGACTTTAAAAAAAATTATCATCTTGACTACACCTGAGGCCTGTACGACGAAGCCGGTTCAACATAACCTGGATATGTTTGAGTTACCCGGGTTACCTAATCCAAAACAAACGCGCTCTCGCTAGACGGTCCTCCAACGCTGGTTATCAACTCGTTAACTCAAGCCAGCTTTGCCCTATCTAGTTAGGTGCACGTTCACATAAAAGGGGTGGTATTTGGAGCATTCGACCAATCACAAACATGGAGAAGCGTACTGACAGCGCGTCACACTTCCCGAATGAAAAGTGAACTATAATATTAGACAAATATGAAGAAGTTAAACTTTAGACATTCATGACTTAAACACTTTATCCAGGATAAAAGCCACATAGCTGCACCTGCAAGGTGAATACAGCTGGTAAAAGAAAAAGTGTTTGAATGCGTACATTAACAGGTTTATGATATCACTGCCCCGTCCAAGACACGATCTGACTTTAATTACATTTGTCTCGAGTGTTTTGTCAACTTAATGTGTTGCTTAAAATAATACTTCTGCATACAGTATGTGACACTGTGAGTGTTGCACGGCCAGATACGGCTCAGCTGACTCAGATAAGGAAATATATGATACATTATGATGTGATATGAATGATAATGGGACACATCGACGTCTGCACTCACAGTGCCGCGGACTGTACGTAATGTTACTTTGATCCGGTTACTATGTTAACTTGTGGCAGATATTTAAGTAAGCTTTCTTAACGCTAATGTTATAATAGTCAGATTGCTCTGAAGATGGGAGGTGATATTCTATGTATGGGAAACACTGTTATTTGTATTACTATTATAATACAATTCACGTGGCGGGGGGTCGCCAGTCTCTGGCACAGTTATTTTGGGGGTCGTGGGCTGAAAGGTTTGGGAACCCCTGCTCTAAACCCCTTTAAGGGTAATTTCTTATGGTAAATATTGTTTTGGAAATAAGATGTAAAAAAAAAAAAAGTATGGACCTGCAGGATGATTTTGCGATGCTGTGGAAAGTGTGCAATGGTTTGGAGCATCCTGTCGGTGTTAAGCAGGGCCAACAGGTCCTCGAAGCTCTCTTGCTTCCACAGTGAAGCTCCGAGGCTTTTCCTGGTCTTGTGGTGCTCCACAGCTGCCGGGCCCCACAGGAAGGATCTGCAGTTAAAAACACAAATAAGCGATTGCAAAAAAAAAGTACTGTGTAGAATAAACCAAAATAAATGTAACTTACTGAAATTTCAGCAGACTGACATTGTTTCTTTCATATTCCTGAAGGAGCAGTAATAGTTTCTGATCTGTAAACAAAGACAAGATGTAAGAGGAAAGAAGGACAACAACCACATAAACACAAAATGGATTCGATTTTACCTGAATTATTCAGGGAAACTCCATATGCTCCCAAAAGAACGACAAATTGATTGGTGTTACAGACGGCTGGGCATTTCTTCACCAAAGAGAGAAGTAGAGACACTAACGCTTCTGAAATGACAACAACATTATTGTGTTAGTGTTAAGTAATAAGATAAATAATTGAAGGGTAAGGCTTTGTAATGTAGTGTTTTCTCTGTTCTATTTAGCTCCAGACACACCTTTAGCCTGACACCTGCTGTGCTCTTCATCATCTTCCAACATGGTGGGCAGGAACAAAGAATGGCTGCTTGTCATCATGTAAAGGGTGGCTAAAGGAATCAGGTCCTTCTGGACTTCAGTGCCACCGTACATCACTCCCAACAGGTGGCTCAAAGTGTTCAGATAGCGGTGATCTCTGTACCGATATCTACAGGGAAGAATATATTTTAAGTATTTGATTAAAATAAATCTAATGAGAAGCTCTCGAACAAACATCGAGCAGAATTGAAACAATTATCTTACTTCAGTCCATTCTTGATAAAACTGTTCCATTCAGATGCAGTGATGTCTTCAGCTGATGTCTGTGTAAAAGAAACCGTATTATGATGCATGAAATAAAATATCAAATGAACAGTAGAGGAAAAACAGTGAGGAATATAAACCCACTAGCAGTCCTTGCAGTCTCTCCAGGATGCTGTGCTCCTGCTCCAAACGGGCAGTAGCCGGATCTTTAGAATGACTGTAGGCCGCGATGAGACACTTGAGGGCAGCCGTGGTGACTGACTTCCTCCAGGTGTCTTGTTCCTCTGGGCAACCATCCAGTTTCTCAGTGACAGCATCTACTAGTTGCCATCTGAAAGAGAAAACATTTAGCTAATACCTTGTGACACCAATTATTCACTCATAGTTAGTATAATATTTTTGAATTGATGAATACCTTTCAAAACTGTCAACTTTTTGAAGAGCATCGGGCAGTGTGTTGATCAAGCTCTTAGTGTCCTTGATGTTCGCTGACAGCCTGATCAGATTGGCTAGTGTTTCAGTCACCTGGGCTCCAGAGTCTTCCGTCAGGTTTCCCAGAACACATTGGGACAGTTTTGCCAGCAGTGCTTGCTTCAAAGCCATTACAACCTCTTTTTGCACTATAAAACACAGCAATTGAGCATTTGTAAATAAATATACAACGGTAAATAGAAGGCAAAAGAGTGACTTAAATATTGATGCTGTATGTAAGTACAAACCTTCTTGTGGTCTGGCGGGATCCTCTCTCCTTGCCACCTGCAGGTAGGTGTTGATAAGTGGAAGAAATGTTTCCGTCTGCTCTGAGAGCTTCTCCATGTTTGCTGGCTCGAGACACCACATTTCAAAGCAGAGGCGATGTGTGGAGCAGTTCTGCAGCAGGAGAGAGCTAATGGAAAGGGAGTCTGGGAGAGGAAACTGGAGACAGTGCAGCAGCACATCTGTGTGGATGAGTTTAGCACTGCCTGGCTCAGTGGACAGAGTCTGCAGCAGGAAGGCCTCCAGTGCGTGGCTGGAGCAGGACAGCAGCAGGGTGCTCAGGCCATGGAGGTGGGCCTGAGACAGAAAGATGCCGTGGTCCTTGGAAGGGTTAGCTTTAGACTCTGTGAGGATGAGCAGAGCTGCATGACCATAGACACTCAGCTCGGCCTGTGCGCCCTCACTACTAGGAGAGATAAGGCTCCCGTGGGGGAGGAGTAGCAACTTGGAAACCACCTCTCTGAGGTTGCAGGAGTCCATGAAGCTGTGAAGAGACAGGAGGGCCTGGAAAGGTCGAGACTGTTTCTTTGGTGTCTGGGAGCCCTTTTCCATCAGTTCCTTGAGCACAGCTTTCTCTATCGCCTCCATATAGCTACAACTGAGCTCCAGGTGACCGAGATCACTTAGAGTAGGGGAGCATGTCTTCAGCAAGGTCAGAATGTCATCATTCAGCTGAGCGCACATGTGCTTCAGCCTGACGGGGTTCAGAGTGTGAGGAGGCAGAGCAGCCAGCTCCAGAGCCAGGAACCACTGCTGCAAACACGGATGCTTGAAGATGGAGCCAAGGACCGAAAAGAGGACCTATACACAGAGGGGCCCAAAAAGCATCAGTCATTTGGAAATCAGTAGAAATCAACTGGTCACAGATGGAACAAAAAGTTTTTTGAAATGTTCCATCCAATGAAAGCCATAGTTAACAGTGCACCTTTCCCCACCTGCTCTTTATTGGCTTCTGCTGTGGACAACTGGCTGATTTCCAGGAAGAGGTCTGATCCTTCCTGGGAGTTCTCTGCTGCTGGCTCACAGTGTGCAGATTCCTGAAAGCCTTGCAGCTTGCTCACCAAATCATGGAGTATTCCCATTAAAGTCTTCAGAGGGGCGGTTCCTATGTCTTTGGGGAACTGTGCAGAAGATCAAGATGTGTTGAGTACATTTTCAAATCAATCATATACTGATTAGTAATCTTGTTTGTTGTGCTCTTACCGTGCCAAGGTTTTCCACTGTTGATCTTATGTAGAGTAATATCTGCTTAGTTGCTACTGGAAAATCATCAATCAACATTGAAGCTAGAGTTCCTTCCACATTCTTCCTGAATGCGTCCTCTAGCAGAGCGTTTGGACCTTGGCTATATGCAGACTCCATCAGTGCGCTGAATGAAATGGGGGTCGAGGATCCCTTTGAATGGTGTTCAGAGGATTTGAACTGCAACAAAAGAGCAGCATTGTTGTTGTTATTGTAAGGAATTACAAGAATGTCACTCTTTCAGTTAAACAATCTCTTGCTTCCACCAAATACTGACCAGTTCCTCTCGGCTTTGCTGAGGAAGCCATTTGGAGTAATACTGATGAAGGTGTATGATGGAGGGATGAGGAGGAGCGGAGAGTTCCGTGGACACGAGCTCTTTATCGTACTGCAGCAGAGCCAGGCAGAGCGGGAGAGGCTCTCTCTGACAGTGCAACACATCTGAAAGCACCGCAGACAAGTACTCATGTACCACCCCTGAGGAAAAAAGGCAGATGATGATAATTATTATACCATTCTAAACAATAGTTTTGTAATCCTCATAATATAGAAAACACTTTTAAAAGTACAAACAGCAGGCCTTTTACTGAATTTTGTTTGTTCTTAAAGCACAGATTTAAAAGGTCCCATGTCATGGCCATTTCTACTGATCATAATTCCATTGTTGAGGTCTACTAGAATAGATTTATATTATTAAATGTTCCAAACTCACATTGGTTTCTCATACAGCATCTCTGTATAGTATGTGTATTCACTCTCTGTCCTACACGCCTTGTTGGAGATCCTGCCCCGCCCCCTCCCTGTGATTAGTCAGCTCGCCCACTCTGTTCTGATGAGTCCACCACGGTTACAGCGGAACATCAGTGATTATGTGTTTCAATGGCGTTAGCAACCAGAAAATGACACCAGTAATGAGAAACAGATGAGAATGCTGCGTGGGGTCTGGGTGCCGTGTTGGCGGGCGTTGTGGGGCTCGCTGCTGCGAGGAGCGGACAGTGGGAGCTGGCTTACTGGTGTGGTTTCCTGGTTGCTGCGTGGGGTCTGCGAGACAGCGAGACACCGCGAAACTCAGCCTGAGCACACACACACGTAGCCTGGCTGTGAATTTATGTGTGTGCTCAGGCTGAGAAATCAGCGGAGCTGCGGCTGAGAAAATATAAGGCTGAGTGAGTGTGTGTGTGTGAGAGAAAGTCCGCGGATTGGTCCATTTGGACCAACCTGCGTTGCCGTTACGTCACTACGACCCAGGTAGAAAAAAATGGAAAAAGAGAAATCCCCAACGAGGCGTTCTGGGGCAGCATAGACAGGTCTTTTCTGTGTTAGAGTTGTACTCGCTACAGGGTGTACTTTGAGGGTTTGTGACTTTGCAGACCGTTTACATGCAGAAAAACCTACATAACACACAAGGGGACGGGTAATAACCGGAAAAGCATGAGATGGGACCTTTAAATTATCATATGGCCAAATTCCATTATTTGATCTGATGGTCCTATCATTGTGCATGCTAGCCCACTTGAAACTTGAATATAATGAAGCCATCGATGCTTTGCTTAGTATTAAATGTCAGCTATAAAAGAAATGGCCTATAGGAGTGTTTATAGATGCGCATCAACATGGAAACACAATTTTCAGACTCCATTTATGGTTCCACTCATTATATGGTGTGCTTTACCCATGTCTGCTGGCAATTTGTTACGAGCCTCCAGTGCAGCGGGGACCACCACACTGAAGGGGAAGGTCTGGATGATGAGGTCTTCACTCAGAGACGGCCCGAGCTCCTCCATCTCTCCTTCATTACCCTCCATGATGACATCCAGCATGTCTAAGACATCTACAAGACATTGTCAGATTAAAAATGACTGGTTTCGTAAAACGTGATAATGTGGTGAAGAAATGAACTGTAATTCCATCTTCAAATGCTCACCATCTATGTGTGAGATTGGGATACTGGCTGCGTCGCCCTCCTGGATACTCAGGTTAGCTTGAAGATAAGCTGCCTCCTGGACTAGACTGGCAACCTTATCTGTGTATGTGAAAGAATTACACACCAGTTTCACCAACACCTGGAGCAAGAAGGAGGAGTATATTGGTTGTAATTACAATGTATTGATTCACATTGTCATATTTTTTGTAACCCAAAGAAAACGGTAATATACAGAAATGCTGAAAAGATCTAATGTATATGGACTCACCCTCACTAAGAACTGGATGACAGCCTCTTGTTGGCTTGCCTCTACTTTGGCCAGCTGGTCGAGCCAGAGCTCCAGCTCAGTCCAGGTGTACTCGAACACTCCACTGTCCTTCAGCACCTGAAAACAATATCGTAGGTTGGTTGGCACTTTTCTCCTAAAACTGAGTTTAGGAAATAGTCTTAACAGAGAACAGAGACATTAGCAAGTAATTTTCCTATGCTGCCTGTACTTGATGACCTTTAATAATAATAATGAGTTTTACCACAGTGTTGTTATCATTGAGGCCTTTTCAAGTAATATAGATAAACTACATTTCCTAAGTGTAAGCACTGACCGGTTTCCTTATGTAGCTGAAGTACTTCTAACATCTCCCCTAATACTACCATAAATACTCCAAGCTGTACTTTTACTCTCAACAGTTACTGAGGCACGAACTTGCTAAAGTATTCCAAAAGTGCATTATGTGTCTTACTTACAGTGTGATTACCCAGTTAGATTAAAGCAGTATACATTTGGTGTAAACAATGATCAGTTTGAATGCCTGCCCGGGTTTGAAGATTTAAAGTAACTTCTAACATCTAAAAACCTGTGTGCAATGCATATAGTGCAGGCAGGAATCAAACGCACAGAGGAAAACAAGGAAAAGTTCCTTACTTTTAGAACCAGCTGTCGTGTGGAGCTCTTCAGGTGGCTGCTGCTGCTGCTGACAAACATCTTGAGCAGCAGGTACAGTACTGACTTCTCTCCAGATGATGATTCGGTGTCAACATCCTGGGAAGAAAAGGCAATATACAACACGTTAAAACAAAGCAACACCTTCTAGACCGCAATCATTGAGAAATATAGATGAAATAGTGAACAAAACAACAACAGTGCAACATTTTCACCTGTATGCGAAACCAGGAGAACATGCTCGCAGGGAGATCTAAGGCCAACTGCAGAATCTGATACTGCAAAACTGGGGGAACTTCTTCCCTCATCCCTTTCTCAGACACAATCCCTGGAGAGGATAAACAAAGGTACTTTAAGAGCATTGTTTAAGACCCAAGAGCATCATACTTGAAACATACAATATAACTTATATGTGAACTCAATGATTTAAAAAAAAGCATTACCTTTTAGGAGCTTGCTGAAATCAAATTTGCACTGGCTAACCAGATGTGGCACGACTTTCTGGTAGAGACAGATGACCTGGAGAATCAGAGTCTTCAGCAGAATTACCTCAGCTGTCTCAGCAACTGCTGAACACAACAAATAAAGTCAATAACATGTTTTTAGAGGACTGACAATCAATATATAACATGTTATGCAAATATTATTACCGGGCACTTCGTTTTTGTTAGTCGTCTGCTCAGGGACCCCTTCAGTTTTTGTCTTTTTTTCGTCACCATCCGTCTTTTCCTTCTTGCTAAGTGACTGCCACTTTGAAACTATGCTCGTCATATCTGGCAGAATCTGGAACAGAGCATGAAGATTAGTTTAATGGTGTTTCATAACTGTGTGTGGACATTCAGACTGCACATTCCTGAGCTTACCTTGCTGAGAATCTCCCTGTACTGCAGCACCAAATCCCCCATCATTTCCAGAGTGTATCCATCCGCGCTGCGCCACTCAGACTTATCCAAAAGGTAGTTCATGTTCTTATTGGCTCTTTTTAAGATGAAATTCATCATGGACAGAGTGGTGAGCTGCACACCTGTGTTGGCAAACTGTCAAATACAAAAAGAGATATTCTAATATAACATGACGAGGTTCTTCACATGGTGAGTGTTTTGTGGTTCTGCAGTTACTAATGCATTGTGTGAGTCTCGGACACTTACAGTGAGGCCCTGTGTGAAGAAGGCCTTGTTGCAGACCGGAGGAAGAGAAACCACCATGATCATGGACAGCAGGCGAGGGAGAGGGAGGACTTCACGAGTTTGGAAGACTGTGGAAATCTCTGGCTGGGCTTCGTAGATCTGACAAATACATTCACAAGGCATCATTATATATTTATTATGCTCCCCACAAATGGAAAAAAACGTCCAGAAAACCTGAGGTCTTCACCAACGCCGAGTTATTTTAAGTCGAGGCTAAAAACACTACTTTTTTCAGCTGCTTACCTAAAAGTCTTTTAACTTGTTTTAGCATCTACTGTATTTACAATCTTGTTTGTAAACTATTCTGTATCTCTTTTATGCATGGTTTTTATGAATCTGTTATTCCATTATGTTTATTTATTGTGTTCCTTTCTGTTGTGTTCTTATTAAGTGTTAATGATGATGTAAAGCACTTTGAATTGCCTGTGTCTGAAAATGTGCTATATAAATAAACGTACCTTACCTTATATATTTGTTTAATAGAAAAGCTATATATGAGCCAAAAGGGAATTAGTCTTATACCAATCTAATCTACTAGCAAGTACCTTTTTAAGTAACTTGACATTGTCCTGCCAAGCACTTTTGAGGCGGGGGGTATATGAATACTGCGTCTCCTGAAAGTATCTGGCCAGCATGTCAGGGGTTGCTTTCAACACATTCACCACCAGCTCCGTCACCAACTCATCCTCTGTGGCCTGCTTCTGCCCCACCAGGAACTGAAGCAAGACAATGTTACCAGCTCTGGGAAACAAAACCAAAGTCCTATAATCAGCACGAGGAGATTCCAGAAGAGCGAAAGGTACAGTGACGGATTGATTACTTACCTGCCAGCTGTGCCAAAGCTGGCATCATGAAAGCTGATGCCGTGCTTACGAGAGCAACAAATGTCAAGAAGGAAACTGTGAACAAGTTCCCGAATGACTGATTGCCCAGCATGCTCTGAGTCGTCTACCATCTTAAAGGAGATAAATAACATTTAGACTCACAGGTTGAAAAGAAAATGACAACAGTAAAATAATGTAAAAAGGTAATAACTCACTCTGTCATCATCAGTGGTTGCATCCTCAATCCCATTCCATTTATACAGAGATGCTATGTTGGCCAATACAACAGGTGTGAAAAAACGCACTTTCTGCGTCTTACTTATGCCCTTGTTTATCACCACCTGCAGCAAGACAAACAGAAACCAATGCAATTAACAAAACCATACATTGATTGTTTAAATGTGTAAAATGATGTGTATAATTTAGATTTTTACAGGATGATACAATTACACTACATTCAAGATTTCATGACACCAAGAAATGTATTAGCACGAAACATCACTTGTATATGAAGAAAAATATAAATATAAGAGAACAACATAGTTAATACAATGCTCGTCATTAAGTTATATTTCATCCCCACTCACGTTACATAAATGTGTAAAATTATGAGCACTTACTCTTGTCTTCAGTGTAGACAAAATCAGATTGACGATAGACATCCTGTCCTCCTTCACACCCGTACTCAGGATCTCTGGTAGGAGTTCTGACACACCAAAAACGTACATGTCATCAACACACCTGAGATACAATTTGATTGCGTATATTTGAATGCATATTTAATTACCTTTGATTTCTAATAACTGTCCAACTGTAGCATTGTCTCCAGACACCAAAAAGGACAGCACAAACTGGATATAAGCCATGCGGACATCAGGTCTTCCCTGGGGTATTTTCAGAGAAGATTTTAAACATACATCTCCACAGAATCCAACAAACCAAATCAAAACTGAAAAGTTCAATTGCTACTCCATACCCTCTTATCCCTTCTCTTTGCCAGTCCAGACAGAGCTTTGTTGACGTGAATGTTACTCAGGACATCTCTTGCAGCTTCTTGACCCTGAGACACCAAGGCTGACAGGAGACTGAGGCACTGACGGACGAACCTGTGCACAAAGGAAAACATTTAAATAAAATATATTAAATATTAAATAATATTAAATATTTAAACTGTGCTGAGAGGGCTGATATTTGAAGTCCTAGAAATGAGGTTAACACTCCAACCTGTGATTTTCTGATTGGAAGGATCCCTGCAGGAGTTTCACGTGGCTAGAAACAATCTTTTTCACAATAGCATTGCCCACCATGCTGAAGTGGGACAGGTCACTGGCTGTCCGGAGGAGGATCATCTCCAAGCTCTCAAAGATCAGCATCATCTGGACAGAGGCAGGATTGGATTAGATCCACTTACATGGCCAAACACAGGTTTACTAACAGTTTCAGTAACATTAACTGTGAAAGGCACTTACCTCAGTCTCTACGTGCTTTTCTCTCTCTAGCAATTTGAATATTTCAGCACACTCCATAGAAATTTTAATATATCCTTCCACCACATCATACAGATCAGAGCATGGCAGCTTCTTAGCGGTGGAAACGAATGTCTCCAGTCCTGCAGGCGAACACAAGTGGTACAGTTATGTATTAAAGAATTCCTATGATATCTTATTTGCACTCCTGTGAGATGTAGCCAAACTGTACACAATAAACTCACCTCTCATGACTGTGGCTGGTTCCTTCAGCATGGCTTTAAATGCAGTCCCATTGAACTCCGAGACTTCTTTTTTCAGCGGAATGTTGGACTCCACCGAGTCTTCGTTTTCACGCTTTTTACCCATTTTAATATGCAGGAAAAACTGATATTAGTGACTTTTGGTTTTACTCCCTAACATGCCAACAAAGTTCTGTCAGTGACCCACGTTGTGATCGTGTAAACAGAAAAGTGTCCGTGGTAATAGTCCTCCGGCCGGAAACGTTTGCTGCTGTACTTTGGTTCCGCATTGGTTGCGTTCTGCTCATAATTCTGACTAACTAAGCAACCTTGCATTATTATAATAGCCGCTTACTACACAGCAAACTACGCTACTGCATGACATATAATAATATCTCTGCAATATATAGACACAGTAGGAATATACTGTATACATGTTTTTCAAGGATTTCCATGCAATCTGAGGCAGCCACTTACATTTCATATCAAAATGTGTCACTTCCTCTGACATACAGCCAGGACACATGTTGAATTAGAGCTCTTATATTTTTCCTTTAATGTAAGCTGACCTAGTGACTGAAATGTAACACCAAAGTGTGTATAGAACACATGAATATCCCTTAAATACCATATGAATAGCGAATCCTGTGAAGTGATACATTTTTTAAATAAATGATACTACATTTATTTAACCTTATAGATTCAATAAGATCAAAATCATTTTTGCAAGAAACACTTAGACAGAGTAAAGAAGATGGTGATATTATTTGTATTTTATAAAACCATGAAGAAGAGTCTCAACTATACATTCTGTTTAAGTTGTAAGATAACCCTTTCATTGTGTATAACCTCTCTCACAGTCACAATCTGGCATTTCCTAACTATCAAACTGTCTCGCTTTTGTTCTATGCACTTCAGTTCTCAACATACCTTGCTCTAATGGAGTGTGGACTGCTGCTTAGAGAGGTCCCAGTTCACCTCCTGCCCTGCTGTGGTGCCCTTGAGCAAGGCACCAGACACCCCCCTTCCCCCCTCACTCCCATTGCTCCCCGGGCGCTGTACATAGCTGCCCACTGCTCCTAGTACTAGACTCCTGGTACTAGGATGGGTTAAATGCCGGGAACAAATGTCACTGTGTGTGCTGTGTGCTCTGCATATGTGACCATTAAAGAGGGTTTCATCCCTCCCCAATTCTATTCTATCTAACTCAATTCAGTAACAGCATCATTTTGGCAAAATACACATTTTGCTGAGAACATAGACATACTTATGGTTTAGCTTTGTAGCCTATTTAAAGAGTGTGTGGTTTACAACAAAGTGCAGTCTCTTCTCAGTTATCTTCTCAACAAACTTTGCAGACATTGTTGAACCAAATCTCAAAATTAATGTTAGACTTTTAACTGGAAAAAACATGACAGACTCCCACCTCAATCTGAATTTTTGTCTACATAGACTGGAAGAATACACAACAGGGACTGACATAGTTGAAATGTTAAGTCAAGGTCAGGCTGTGTTTTATTTTATTCATTTTGGGCTGAGCTATATATTGTATTCTTACAGTCTGTTGTAGTATTTCAACATGTCATAAAATCGTCATGAACACAATCGACAGCTTATCTGGTGATGCTTCCAAAGCTCAACTAGAAGGTGACATCTCTACAGACTATGCTGCTTCCTGTCTGTAGGCTTACATAACAACCCTATCCCCCAAAAGTAATGGCAGGAGGACATCTATGCAGGTTATTTTTCACCAGATTAGTGGACTCCTTGAGTTGTCATTCAGTTAAATGAACACCAGGGTGCACCCTTGCTCGGTTTGGGTCTTTGGAGTAATACTCAAACTTTGCACTGAAAAGTGTATGGCAACTTAGCATTCAGCAGCTGTCCAGACTATTTAAGGGGCTCAAATAATCAAATACAATTCAGTTATAAAGACTTTCGTTCCAAGAATGCAGAGTTGTTGGTTGTTCCTAGAGTCTCTAAAAGTACAATGGGAGCCAGAGCCTTTTCTTATCAAGCTCCACATTTGTGGAATCAGCTTCCAGTTTGTGTTCGGGCGGCAGACAGCCTATCCGTTTTTAAGAGTGCGCTTAAGACCTTCCTTTTTGATAAAGCTTATAGTTAGGGCTGATTAGATTCAGCCCCTAGTTTTGCTGATATAGGCTTAGTTTGTCGGGGGACATCTTACTTCTTCCTTCTCTCTGTCTATACCTGTGTACTCTCATGTTCCGATTAACCCAGCTTCCCCAAATGTCTTTCTTTTTGGTGTCTATATACGCCGGGATCCGGAGTCATGGATGATCCTGCGCTCCTCTGTCCTAAATCGCGAGCCCTGGATCTTGAGTCGTGGCTGTGGTCCTGGATCATAGGTCCTGGATGGATATCCTCGTGGATTCATTTTCCTATTATACACACATGCATTTCCAAACATTTGGACTACCTATGTTGCAAATGTATTATCTTTTCAATTTACACACGGCATCTATTGCACGTCTGTCCGTCCTGGGAGAGGGATCCCTCCTCTGTTGCTCTCCCTGAGGTTTCTCCCATTTTTCCCTTTAAACTGTGGGTTTTCTTTGGAAGTTTTTCCTTGTACGATGTGAGGGTCTAAGAACAGAGGGTGTCATATTGTCATACTGATATTTTGTACAAACTGTAAAGTCCACTGAGACAAATGTAACATTTGTGATATTGGGCTATATAAATAAACATTGATTGATTGATTGATTGCTGTGAATCGCTGTGAATCGCCTCCAGATTCACTGTGTTAACAACTATTGAGGATCTACTGTGAGGCAGGGCCAGCAGGCAGTGTGCTGTTGTCTGGGATGTAACTTGGGATTCTGTTGATTTGATTACAGCTCACTGCTCTGCATGCTATAAAGCAAATTTGCCTGTGGTGAAGAAACCATCAAAACTATTTCAAAGGCATTTTAGAATAAAGCTTCTAAATTAGGGGAAAATAGCTCTGTCTGTGATACAATACACAATAACTGTGAAATGACAGGGAGGTTAGTAAAGCCTCACTTTGAGTTAGTGCTTCTGGTTTCACATTTATTACACAGTTCCTACTATTATGCAGTTAAACAGACTCTTTCATGGCACCAATAGTGCAAAAGAAGTGGAATATATCTAATAGGTCTCAACATCTAAAGCGAAGCTTTTAATGTTTTGAACTAGAATAATTACATTTTATTTTGTATTAATGCTCGATAGTATGATAATTCTGAGGCAACTTAGCCAAAGAGGTTGTTAGCTTGTTCACAGCAACTGACTGAACAGAATATTAATAATAAATAATAATAATATATTTAATTTGTTAGCGCTTTTACAGGTGCTCAAAGACGCTTTACAGATATAGTGAAGATAAAATAAAATAAAGGAACAACAAATAAATATATAGTTAAAGTTAAAGTCAAATAATACAAAAACAATCACACATTAAAAGCCAGATTGAAGAGGTTTTTTGAAGGTGGTGAGGTCAGTGCAGTCTCTGATGGGTTGTGGGAGTGAGTTCCAGAGGGAGGGGGCAGCGACGGAGAAGGCTCTGTCCCCCCAGGTCCGGTGATTGATGCGGGTAGGGATGGATAGGAGGTTGGCTTCTGATGAGCGGAGGCAGCGGGAAGGGGTGTGGTGGTGCAGCAGGTCTGTGAGGTAGGGGGGGGGGGGGGGGGCTGATTGTTGAGGGCTTTGTGAGTAATCAGGAGAACTTTGAAGTTTATTCTTTGACGGACGGGAAGCCAGTGGAGGTTCTGGAGGACGGGAGTGATGTGGTCTCGGGAGCGGGTGTGGGTGAGGAGGCGGGCAGCAGAGTTCTGGATATGTTGGAGTTTATGAGGAGGTTGGATGGTATGCCGTAGAGGATGCTATTAGTCGAGTTGTGATGTGATGAATGCATGAATCAGGGTTTCAGCAGCAGAGGAGGAGAGTGATGGACGGAGACGGGCAATGTTTTTGAGGTGGAAAAAGGCGGTCCTGGTGATGTGATTGATGTGGTAGTTGAATTTGAGCTGACTGTCGAAGATGACTCCGAGGTTGCGGATGTGAGGGGGGGGAGATAGAGTGTGGCTGTCAATGGTGAAGTTGAAATTCTGGATGTCTTTGGTACGGGATGGGGGGCCGATGATGATGATGTCTGATTTGGCACTGTTCAGTTGGAGATAGTTTGTTTGCATCCATGCTTTTATTTCTGAGAGACAGTTGGTGAGAGTGGAGTGTGTTGTGGGGGTGATGGTTTTTGTTGAGATATAAAGTTGGATGTCATCGGCGTAGCAGTGAAATTGAAGGTTGTGGCGACTAATTATTTTGCCAAGGGGGAGCATGTAGAGGATGAAGAGGAGGGGGCCAAGCACCAAACCCTGGGGGACGCCTTGGGACAGAGGAGCAGTGGAGGAGGTGCAGTTGTTGATGTTGATAAACTGATGTCTGTCGGTGAGGTAGGATTTCAGCCAGGAGAGTGCAGTGTCAGTGATGTTGAGTGATGATTCGAGGAGGGACAGCAGGATGGTGTGGTTGATGGTGTCGAATGCTGCGGTGAGGTCGAGGAGGATGAGGATGTTCAGGTTGCCGGAGTCAGAGGAGAGGAGGAGGTTGTTTGTGATTTAAGTGATTAAGTGAATGAATAGCTGCGGGGCATGGCAAAAAAGTCTTTAACCATGGGGCAGGGGTGTCAAACTGTACTAAATATTATAAAAAGAAGTGCAATGAAAAAATTAGCCAAATAAATACAATGAAATTGAAATCTCAGAAATCTGTGAAATGATTCATGCCAAGCAGAAAATAGATTGTGTTTTTCAGCGCATTTACTTATCTAAGGTCTGGCTGAGCAAGGAATGGGGTCAAAACAAGCCTGATGGCAGTAATTGAACATATTTTAAAATTCATGTCATTTTATAGCAAGCACAATGGCAATAGGAAAATAACTTTTGATCAAATGTCAGGGATTTTGAGAAGGTCTGATAATAGTGTTTATTAGAATTAAAACTAAATGAACATCATGAATCTCTAGGGATTGTGTAATTTTGTCATTGACTTCTAACAGTGAAGTAGCCCCCCGATGGATATTAGACAGAATGCAAGTATAAAGCACTAAGGCACTTACTACATGTTGTGATGGATGCTTTTCACTGCATCCATCACAACATTGCCAATATGTCACCCTTTCCGGCAGGGCACTGTTACTCGTTAGACCCCGCTGATGAGATTGGAGTTCCTAATGCTATTGAATATATGCTATAAACTGGCGT